GGGAAAGAGACACCAAGATGGGAACTGTAATCTCTGATAGAGGTCCTAAGATTTTTGTTTGTTTTTAAGTTGGCTTATCTTTCAAAGTTTTTTTCACAACGAGCTCCAGCTCTGTACCACAGTGGGTTAAGTGCTATGCACAGAAAGTTGGGTCCCCCACGTTCTACCACGGTGGGAATCCTGCCCCTGTGGCTTATAAAACACCCCAGGCCCGGGAACCAGCAGTTGGCATAATGGCTATGTCACTGGACTCCCACGTAGTCGACCGCGGTTCGTGTCCCGGACCCGGTGGCTTAAAACTCACGCCGGGCGCGTGTGCGTGCATGCCCAAGATCCCGAGAGGAGAATGGAGGAGAAGGGATTGTGGCGTGACCATCCCCCCTGGGGGGTGATTTCTCGCTTTCTGTCTCTATGTCTCTCTCTGTCTGTCTGGCAAGCGCACGCGCCCTACAGTGAAAATCTCTTAAAAAAAAAAAAAAAACAAAACACCCCAGGCCCGTGCACATGCGTGGCCTAAATCCTAACGAGATGGAGAAATGAAGTAAAAGGATTAAAGCATGACCACACCCCATTTGGGCATTCTCTCTCTCTCAGGAGCACAAGTGCTCTCCAGCAATTTAAATTGTTATATTTATATTTATGTTATATTTATATTTATAGCCAAAAACTATTTTTGGACTAGCAGGTGGTGCAGTTAAGGTACTGAATTCCATATGGCTGATTCCATGATTCCGAGTCCTGGACCTGGCAGCCTGAAAAACACGCCAAGCACATGCATGTGTGTGCCCAAAATCTCAAGAAGAGGAGGGATTGTGGTGCGGTGATCCCCAGAGGGTGATTTCTCACTTTCCATTTGTCTCCGTCTCTCTCTGGAGAGCACACACTTCCTATAGCAAAACTGAAAACAAAACCAAAAGCAAAAAAACAAAAACAAAAACTTTTTTTTTTGTGATGAATATAAACTGAACCTTTGCACTAAGAAGTTTGTTTTTTTTTTGTTTTTTTTTTTTTTGGAGAGGTTTTTCGCTATAGGGCATGTGTGCTCGCCAGACAGACAGAGAGAAACAGAGAGACAGAAAGCGAGAAATCACCCCCCAGGGGGGATGGTCACGCCGCAATCCCTTCTCCTCCATTCTCCTCTCGGGATCTTGGGCATGCACGCACACGTGCCCGGCGTGAGTTCTAAGCCACCGGGTCCGGGACACGAACCGCGGTCGACTACGTGGGAGTCCAGCGACATAGCCATTACGCTAACTGCTGGTCCCCAGTAAGTTTGTTTTTTTGAGGAGAGAAAAGAAGAGAGATGGAAGGGAGAGATGATAAGGATCTGCAGAAGAGAGAACAAGAGGTCGTGAGGAGGCCCCCAGGAGGGTGAGGCTTCCTGGGGGTGCCAGGAGAGGGATGGGATCTCAGGATGTTAGATGGATGCAAAGTGGCCCCTTCTAAGACGGAGCAGATTGGGAAGGGCCCAGAATCCTGGTTCTTCAGCCACTTGGTCTTTGTCCCACAGCTTCCAACCCACTTCAATGCTATCCCTCCACCCGCCCTTCCTGGCTTCTTTCTCTGTGTTCAAACCCTCCCCATCTTTCCAGCAGAATCTTGGACCTGCCTCCTCCAGGAAGCTTTCCTTCCCAATGCCCACCCTCCCCCATTTGCCTCCTCCACACTTCGCAAGCACTGGCTGCTGTAGGACACTGTTCACATCTACACTAGGGTCCCTGAGAACTCTACTATCCTGGAGGACCGGGCCTTTGGTCCTCTCCCCCTCCCCTGGATGCAAAGCTACCTAAGACCCAGTCAGATCCTGTGCTGTGGCGTCCCCACTGGGCATGACATACCTACCAGCAGCTTGCCGGTTTCAAGGTCCCAGGCCCTCACTGTTTTGTCATAGGATGCTGCAACAATTCTGGAAATAAAAAGACACACATAAGGTCTTCATGACAGAGACAGTTGTGCCTGTGGTTCCTATGAGGACCAAGATCACGAGTCATACAATCATCTTTCAAAAGGTGAAAACAGAAAACCTAGCACAAAAGTCACTCTGGCACCATTGTTTTCCCAAATGCTTCCACTACTCAAATATGTCCTTGTATATGGAGGGCTTTGAAAGGATTACTTCTGTTCCAGCATTTTCTGTCTTCTTCTAAGGAGACCTACCACTCACCGGAATCAATCACTTCCTTCTCTGCTCACATGCTTTATTCTTAAAAACAAAAACAAAACAAAACAAAATAAAAAACAGGCAAATGCTTGAAAATAGTCTGCTCATTTGGTTCTGAAATGTTTTCTTATACATTTAGTTAAAATGTATAAATAGGGCCAGCTCTGTGGCCTGCTGGTTAAGGTAACTGGATCCCACATGGGTGAATATGTGGTTTGAGTCCTGGTGACTTGAGAAACAGAGTGGGCGTTCATGCTCAAAATCTCAAAAGGAGGGAGAAATGGAGGAGAAGGGAATTACGGTGTGACCATCCCTCATGGAGGGTGCTTGCTCCTCTCCCTGTCTGTCTCTCCCTCACTCCAACCAACAAATAAGAACTACATATGTACATATCTACACTTTTGTCTTCTTATATTGCCTGTTCCCTCTATACAACATCAATTCCCATGACACCTAAATTCTCAGACAACTTATTTACTAGTATACTTTCAACAGTTTTTTGTTTGATTTTTAATGGAGAGGTAGGTAGAGGCTCCTGCCTCAGCCTCCCAGGTGGGTTGGTCCAGGAATCAAATCTGGGCTGTCATGTCTTATGCAGAAGCACCCTACCACTGTGGGACCTCAGCTGGGCTCAAAGTAAATCTGTTTTAAAGCAAATGCCCTCCTGTGTGAAAGGGACCTATCACACCTGTGTGAGTGGTTTTGAGCAAAGACATCCCAAAGCCCCTTCTCCCTGCCCTGCCTGCCAGGCCTGGCCCTTCCAAGATGACAGCAGGGACAAGCCTTTGCTTCCCTGGACCTTGGTTTCTCCTGTGGAAGGAAAATCTGGACAACTTTACTTAGGTCTCTGCGGCTTCAACAGTCTACATGTGACTACAGAAAAGGAATTTCATATATGCCAGCAGGTGGCACAGTGGTCGAGGTGCTGGACTCCCATATGGCCAGCTACAGTTCCAAGACCCAGTTCGAGTTGCTCCCAGACCCAACTACTTGAAACTCATGCTGAGTGTGCACCCAGAATTCCTGGGGCGGGGGAGTGGAGGAGAAAGGGTTGTAGCATGGCCACCCCTCCTGAGGAGTGATTTCTCACTTTCTGTCTCTATCTCTCTCTTTGTCTCAGGCAAACACACTAACTCTATAGGAAAAAAAAAAAAAAAAACTCTCTGAAAAAAAAGAAAGAAAAAAGAAACCTCATGAAAAATATTCAGACTGGCTTTGTATTAGCCATAGTAAATTTTCTCTTTTAAGTGCTTACACTTTGAAAGTTTCACATCTATGTTATTCTCGCAATTTAAAAAAGGAAACTCAGAGACCAAGATACAGGAATAGGGCTATGAACTTGTTTAGCAAAAATTTTAAAAAGCAAAACCAAAACTAATCCTGACATGCCTGCATACCAGTCTACCTCCTCACTCTCACTTTTCCCAACCAGAGTAAGCCAAAGGAAAGTTTACCTTCTGTAGTCGGCTGTGATGCTGCACTCTAAAATAGGAGCTTTGGGGTGTGGCTCATAATCCTGAATCACAGATCCATCCACAGCATCCTCAAATCAATGGGAGAGAAAGAGAGACAGTGGTCATTGCTGTGTTTGCTGAAGTCGTGAACCAAGTTGACATCAACCCTTAGCTGTCAGCAGCAGCAAAGTTACACAAAAACAGTCCTATAACTCGCTCAACTCCAAAAGGTGAAAGGATTGTTCATCCACACCCTGCCAAGTCCCATGGCAGGAAGGACACCCTTGCCATCCTCAACATCCTTAGTAAACTCCTCTCAAGCTCACAAGTACCAGATGAAAGCTATTCACTGCGGGAGCAGAGCTGCAAATGGATGACTTTCTCATTCTTTATCGGCCAAAGAGGCTTTGTAGAATCTATCAATAGCAATTTATTTCAAGAATGTTTTAAAAGTTCATACCCTTTTATACCCAGCAATTCTACTCTGAGAGGCTCTCTACTCAATAAATAACCAGATTTGTGGTCAAGACATATACATGAAAAGTTTCATCATGCATCATTAGGTGGTAGCAAAAACACTGGCAGCAATCTAGGTGTCCAGCTGAAGGGGAATGATTAAAACAATTGCAGCACATCCAATAGCACGGCACCAGCAACTACTAACAATCAAGTTGAAAGTTAATCAGAGAGTGTGATAAAGAGCAAACAGGATATCAAAGCATAAAGGTGTCTGTAGTGGTGAAGGTAAAATGTTTTTAGTAAGAAATATGCCAATAGTTTTCAGGATAAGCAGGGGCAGGAAGCCCCCCTTGAAACAAATGTTATTGTCAAGACAATGAATTACCAGAAAAGTCTTACATTATGCAAGGGGGAGATTTTTGGCCTGATAAAGGTATGTCTATGACAGTACCGCCTGATATGCAGACACCAGTTTGCATGAGGACCTCGAAGCCTTCAGTGAATCTGGGGTCTCCAAGACCAGCACTAGCTGTGATGATTCTCTTGGACTCATGGGACTCTCTACACAGTCATATTCACAGCTAAGAGCTATTACAGTGAAAAGGCACCAAGGAAAACCAGCAATGGGAAGAGCACATAGGGTGACATTCAGAAGAAACCAAGCACAGGAAAAGTCTTCTTCCAGAGGAGTCACATGGGAAGTGTTGAATTTCTCCAGTGACAAACTGTAGCAACACAAGTGAAGTGCTATCTACCAGAGAGGTGTGCCTGAGCCTAGAGGTCCAGGGTTTTTGATGGTTGGTCACACAGGCACTACCTGCCTAACATGTACCAGAATTGCAAATACCCATAAGGAACGCAGTTTGCAAACAGTTGAGGCAGAATGAGCCACCCATACTACTTAGTGAGAGTCTCATATGACTGTCAGGAACTGTTTGCCAGTCAGGTGTCCTGATGTCAGCCAAGGACAGTCTTGCCAATAGGCCTTTCTAAGAACAGCCCCAGACCTGCTATGTGCACCCTTTCTGCACAGACCCAGATCCCCAACCCCTACTCCTTAAGACTAGAAACAATGGGGTCACGTTTAGGGGGACACAGCAGGCCCTACTCAAATCCCAATGGCGAAAAAGAACAGCAGAAATCCTAAAGAGGAACTCACTAGGACAGGACACATTTAGGCTGGTGGCCTGGATCCAAGGTTCTAATGGCTTGGGAAGAAAGGGCTCCAGTGTGTTGCTCCAGGGGAAAAAAATGTGGCTGTGAACTAAGAAAATGACTGTCTTTGGGCTTGCAACCAAGACCCATACAGCCTGTGCAGTGACCTGAGCCAGTTAAGGCTAGTGTCTGTGAGGCTGTGCAGGTTCAATATTCAATAGTAGCCCCACATAGTCAAGAGAAGGAACAGCAGTCATGCTGGATAACCCAGCTCCCTTTTCCCTTGGTGTTGTAGTTCAGAAAGGCTCATCCTTTTTGGCACCAGGAACCAGTTTCATGGAAGACAATTTTTTCACAGACCAAAGAGGAGGAGGTTCATGAGAACATACAACCTAGATCCCTTGTGTACACAGTCACAATAGGGTTTGTGCTCCTGTGAGGATCTAACACCACCACTCATCTGACAAGAGGTGGAGCTTAGGCAGTAATGTGAGCAATGGGGTGTGGCTGTAAATACAGATGAAGTTTGGTTCACTCGCTGCTTATCTCCTGCTGTGCAACCTGGTACCAGTCTGTGACCCAGGGATTGGGGACTCTGTTTAGATAACTGTTTGTCCCCTAAAGTTTCATGTTTTGATGTTTGATCATACCAGGAAGTGATTAGATTATAGTGGTTAGATCAAGGAAGCACTGACTTCATAAATAGACTAATGCCATCTTGAGAAAGACTGTTCTAGCTCCTGTGAGTAGTGGTTCACACCACCCATCCCCTTGTGAGAAATGCACACACCCTCCATCTTCTCTGCTTCTATCAGCTAAGATATGACATAGAGGGCCTGATACAAGCTATATACCTTTGGACTTTCTGGCCACCAAAATTGTGAGTCAAATAAATCTCTATTCTTTATAAATCACCCAGTCTCAGGTATTTTGTTATTACAAATAACAAAAGATTTGGGACACTTGAACTTGAATCTGGTGTGTTAATAACAGACTAAGACATTTGGCATTTGGGAACAGGGCCTATAGACCAGTCTGTAGACAATTTAAGAGGGGACACTGGTCAGACTTTGAACGAATGGGGAAGAAGGAGCTGTAATAAATAGTCAGACAAATTAAGGAGCTATGGGGAGCCAGCAGGTAGCATGGTGGTTAGGGTGTTGAACTCCCATTTGGCTAACCATGGTTCAAGTCCTTTACCTGGTGGCTTGCTTTCTCACTTTCTCATGTTCCCTCTCTTTCTCTCACTGTCTCTCTCTGGTGAGCACATATATCCTATAACAAATTTTAAAATAATAAATAAAATTAAATAAATATTTTTTTTAAAAAATCAAGGAGTTATGGGAACAGCAGTTAGCGTAATGGCTACGGCGCTGGGCTCCCATGTAGTCGACCACGGTTCAAGTCCCGGACCTGGTGGCTTAAACTCACACCAGGCACGCGTGCATACGCACCCAGGATCCTGAGAGGAGAATGGAGGAGAAGGGATTGCGGCGTGACCATCCTCCCTGGGGGGTGATTTCTCGCTTTCTGTCTCTATGTCTCTCTCTGTCTGGCAAGTGCATGCGACCTATAGCAAAAAACCTCTCAAAAAAAAAAAAAATCAAGGAGTTATGCCATTATTTAAAGCCCAACAAGTTTCTTTCTTTCTTTTTTTTTTCTTTTAAGGTTTTTGCTATAGGGTGTGTGCACTTGTCAGAAAAAGACAGTGATAGAGAAAGTGGGAAATTACTCGCCAAGAGGATGGCCATGCCACAATTCCTTCTCTTCCATTTTCCTTTCTGAATTTTGGGCACACATGCCCATGTGCCCAGTGTGATTTTCAAGCCACTAGTCCATGACTTAAACCACAGTGGGCCATGTGGTAGTCCAGCACCTTAACCACTATGCCACTTGCTGGCCCCATAGCCCAAGTTTCTTACAGTCACATATGCAGGTTCTGTATAGTTCCCGTTTTGTAAATGTGTGTACAAGAAAAGAAAAGAGGCCCAGCCTATGGCCTAGTAGTTAAGGAAGCTAGATCCCATGTGTCCAAAAATGTGGTTTGACCCAGAGGCTTGAGGAACACACCAGAAGCAAGTTCAAGTGCCCCAAATCTTTTTTTTTTTTTTTTGGAGAGATTTTCACTGTAGGGCGCGTGCGCTCACCAGACAGACAGAGAGAGACATAGAGACAGAAAGCGAGAAATCACCCCCCAGGGAGGATGGTCACGCCGCAATCCCTTCTCCTCCATTCTCCTCTCAGGATCTTGGGCACGCACGCACACGCGCCCAGCGTGAGTTTTAAGCCACTGGGTCCGGGATGCGAACCGCTGTCTACTACGTGGGAGTCCAGTGACATAGTCACTGCTGGTTCCCAAGTGCCCCAAATCTTGACAGGATGGAGAAACAGAGGAAAAGGACTGCAGTGTGACCACACCCCACTGGGGAGGTGCTTTCTTCCTCTTTCTCCTTCTCCCTGTTTCTCCTTCTCTCTCTGGCAAGCACGCATGCCTTTTAGCACTAAAGGAAAAAAAAAAGATACATTCCAACATTTTCACAGTTCACTGTGGGTTCATGGAATGATGAGTTGTTTGTTGTTTTCTCTTTCTTGCGTTTTTACGTATCTCCTATAATAAAATCATATTACCTTTGTAATACATGGAAAACTACCAGACTTACCTTCTATTTTATTTTTTTTCCCTAAAGAATGATCTATTTAGGGGCCAGCAGGTGGCATGGTGGTTAAGGCACTGGACACTCCCATATGGTCAACCACAGTTCAAGTCCTGAACCCGATGGCTTGCTTTCTTACTTTCCCTCCCTCTCTGTGTGTCTCTCTCTGGTCAAATTAAAATAAATGAATGAATAAATAAAATTAAATAGATAATTATTTTTAAAATTTAGCTTATTATTATTATTGTTTTTTAATTTGCTACAGGGTACATGTGCTCACCAGAGAGAGAAAGTGAGAAAGATAGTTGCCAGGTCCAGGACTTGAACCATGATCAGCCATGTGGCAATCCAGTGCCTCAACCACCATGCTATCTGCTGCCACCCTTTTTTTTTTTTTTAAGAGAGAGAGATTTTTTGCTATAGGGTATGGGTGTTTGAGTCAGAGATAAATAGAGAGACAGAAAGTGAGAAATCACCCTTCAAGGAGGATGGACACACCTCAATCCCTTCTCCTCCAGTCTCCTCTTGGAATTTTGGGCACATATGCACACATGCCTGGTGTGAGTTTTAAGCCACTGGGTCCAGGACTCCAACAGTGGTTGACTACATGGGAGTCCAGTGACCTAACCATTATGTCATCTGCTGGTCCCCACACTTATATATTTTTTAAAAGAATTATTTTATTCAACTTTATTTATTTATTTTTTTAACTTGACCAGAGAGGAACAGAGTGAGAGAAAATGAGAAAGCAAGCCGCCAGGTCCGGGACTCAAACCACAGTCAGCCATGTGGGAGTCCAGTGCCCTTAACCACCACACCACCTGCCAGACCCTCCACACTGCCTTTTTAAATGACTGGAAAGAAAATGCTAGCATTTTATAAGGAGCTGAGACATGGGATTAAGATTTTTCTTTTCTTAGTTTCTTCATACATTTATGGGCTTTCTCAATGACTCACAACTATCTCCAATTAGGGCAATGGGGGCCTTGAAAGATGAAGTCAGAGGTCGGGGTTTGGGGTGGAGTTGGTAGAAGGGATTAGAGACGAGGTCAGTGGATGTGGGAGAGGGTGGACGGGACTTTGAGATACTGTGACAAGAGGAGACGGTCACATAGAGTAAGGACTCACTTCTCCACCAAGGGTGGGCTTGAGGACAGCAGAGGCTGGGGGAGCCCCAGCTGGGGGCAGGGAAGCCAGTAGAAGAGGAAGATGAGAAGGGAATCAGGATGAGGAGAGGGCTTCCTGGGAGAGGCAGTCCACAGGGCCAGCCAAGGCAGGGAGCCCGGAGGAGAACTGACCGTTATGGGACTGGGGGTGAAGGCGTGAGGAGGGCAAGGGGTTGGAATAGCAGGGATGGGAGGCCTGCCTGGAGAAGGCAGCACAGGGCTCTGAGCAGGTCCCAGGGCTCTGAGCAGGTCCCACAGTGCAGGTGGGGACACTCGGACACACTTGCTGGGAGGAAGAAAAGGATGGGTCCCAGGAAGGAAGGTAGAAGAGGGGCAGAGGTGGGAGGGATTACATAGTGGGTGGGGCATGGGACAGGCAGGCAACAAGAGAAAAGAGCCTGCTGTCAAGGGGCCAGGCCATCTTGACGGGCAGGCCCTCATTTGGAACAACCACCTAAGTGGAAACAGACAGATTTCCCTTTCCGGGACAAGAGCCCTTCAGCCAAAACAGACAGAAACCGTGGTGAGTCCCTCCACTGACTCAGAAGGTGAGAAGGACGTGGGAAGACTGCCGGCAAAGCAAAATGCACACGTGGAAAGTTTCCACCCCCCACCTTCTGGGTGGTGACAACCAGCAGAGACCCCCCACACACACACCCAGGGCTTCTTAGTCACCCCACAGCATTGGGAAGGGTTTCGGCTTCCAGAGAAACCAGAAGTTTTCCCAGCAAGATCTCAGGGCTGAGGATGGGGTGGGGGAAAGTTAGGAGAGTGGAGTGAGAGGCACAGTTAAGGGCAACAGCAGAGGGAGGGAGCGGATGTCTGCTGGGGCCTGGTATGGGCCAGGCAGGCACTGAGGCAGCCCCAGCACAAGGCTGGTCCTGAGAGGCATAGGGAGGCCAGGAGGTCATGTTACCACTGGGTCACACAGCTGGTGGGTCCTACGTGTGGGGTCTGAACCCACTTGGACCGTCCTCAAACTCCCTTGGTCAGCCTGGCCTTGGCCACTGAAGGCACAGGGAAGATGCTCCTCTGAGGTTACCTATAGGACGAGGGTCCTCCTCCACCTGGTTACCAAGTTAGAACCCAGGAACCAGCTTTGCCTCACTCTACCCGGACTCCCTCCTGCCCTTGAAGTCAGAGGAGATGGCACGACTCAGATCTGTCTCCAACACAGGTCCCGGTCCCAGCCGCTCTGCCCTCTGCAGCCTCTGAGGGCCACTGCCACCTCTCAGCTCCTTCCTCAGCCCATCCTGACTGACCAGCACTGCCCCAAACAGGCCTGCCAGGCTCTGCAGCTATGCCCAGGGAGGCTAGATGTGTTCCAGGTGGCCACCTCTCTGCAACTTCATGTGAACGTCACACCCCTGTTCCCACACCCTTGTTCCCCTACACTCTGGGATCTGTACTCAGACCTGCCCTTCCCAACCACTCACTCCTCGTAGACAGGTCCCACTTTCGGCTACCTCGGTCCTCTGTGGCCATTCAGGGCTGGCCAGACAGGCCTCAGGGATGAAGCCTAGTTTTCCAAATGAAAAGGAGATCCAGAGAGATGACACAGCCCAGAGACCCCAGGTAATGGGACCTCACCCAACAGAAATGGGGGTTCATGGTCCCCTGTTCTTCATGCCCTGCTTCCACGGTTTCCAAATCCACAGCTACCAGAGCCGCTTCACTGACTCCACCCTCTCTGGTGCTTGACTTTTTTTTTTTTTTTTTTTTGAGAGGTTTTTTGCTATAGGGCGTGTGCACTCACCAGACAGACAGAGACAGAGACAGAAAGTGAGAAATTACCCCCCAGGGGGGATGGTCACACCGCAATCCCTTCTCCTCCATTCTCCTCTTGGGATCTTGGGCACGCACGCACACGCGCCTGGCATGAGTTTAAGCCACCGGGTCCGAAACTCAAATCACAGTCGATGACGTGGGAGTCCAGAGACATAGCCATTACGCTAACTGCTGGTCCCATGGTGCTTGACTCTTGAGAGTGCCCTCACTGCTCCTCCTCCTCCCACTTAGCTCAGGAGGCCTCAAACCTTTGGGATCCTTGGTGTCTGGTTACTCCGCACAAGAGGTGCCTGGGCTTAAATGGTTTAGTTCCGGGGAATCTAACACCCAGCCACCTACCCACAGCTTCACAGTGGAGTCATAGGAGCCGCTGAGCAGCTTCGTGTCATCCACACAGAAATGGCATGAGCTCACCACATGCTCATGTCCACTCAGAATTTTAAATGGGATCTGAAAAAAAAAAAAAAAGGCCAAATGAGTTAATAAGGTTGCAAGATCCAAGATTGATATACAAAAGTCAATTATATTTCCAAACAACTGTTGCAATGAATAATCTGGAAGAAAAATCCATTAACAAAGGCACAGAAAGAATATATAGGAATAAATTGTACAAAGGAAGTGTAAAACCTGTAGTTTGAAAATGGCAAAACAGTTTTGAAGAAAATAAAATAAGATAGAAATAAATGGAAAGACATCTCATGCTCCTAAATTAGCAGGTTTAATACATTAGCAGACTTAATTGTTAAGATGATGATACTCAGGCCAGCTGGTGGTGTGGTGGTTAAAGCAGCTAGATTTCTTTTACATGGCTGACTGCATGGTTCAAGTCCCAGACCTGGAGGGTTGAAAATATGCTGGGCACATGTGCATGTGTGCCCAAAATGCCAAAGGAGGGGGAAATGGAAGAAAAGGAATTGTGGCATGATCATTCTCCATTTGAGGGATGCTTTCTCATTTTCCCTCTCTCTCTCTCTCTCCAGTGAGCACGCATGCCCTATTACAAATTATTTTTTAAAAGAATAGGGGTTTATTTGACTCATGATTCTGGTAACTAGAAAGTCCAAAGACGATGCTTGTATCAGGCTACAACATGTATCAGGCTATTACTGAAGCGGAGAGGATGGAGGGTGTGTACAGAGAGACGGTGGACAGTGTTCCGTATCAGTCTCTCTTACTCTCTCTCTCTCTTTTTCTCTCCTTATAAACTTACCAGGATTCAGTCATGGGACCCCACTTCAACCACCCAATCATTCATTTTCTCCCAAAGACCCCACTCTTTAACATAATAATTGGATCAAAGTTTTACACTTTTCATTCCTTTACAGTGGTTCAATATATGATTTTTTTTTCAACTAGAGCATTCTCCAAAATGTTCTATAAATTCAACACCATCCCATCAAAACCCAAGCTAATTTTTTGGTAGAAATGGACAAACTGGGGTGGCATGAAGGTTAAGGCACTGGATCCCGTATGTCCCACTGTGGTTCAAATCCCAGACCCAGGGACTTTAAAATCACTCTGGTGCATGTGTGCGTATGCCCTAAATCCTAAGAGGAGACTGGAGAACCACACTTGTGTGCGGTTATAAAACCAGAGGGGTGACTGACTTCTGACTTTTCTTGTGTTCTCTTTGTGTCTTTCTAGCGAGCACATGCACCCTAAAGCAAAAACTAACACACAGGGACCAGCAGTTAGCGTAATGACTACATCGCTGGACTCCCACATAGTCGACCGTGGTTCGCGTCCCAGACCCGGTGGCTTAAACTCATGCCAGGTGTGTGTGCATGCGTGCCCAAGATCCCAAGAGGAGAATGGAGGAGAAGGGATTGCGGCGTGGCAATCCCCCCCTGGGGGGGGTGATTTCTCGCTTTCTGTCTCTCTGTCTCTGTCTGGTGAGCGCGTGTGCCCTATAGCAAAAATCTCTCAAAAAAAAAAAAGAAAAGAAAACAAACAAACAAAAAAAAACACTAACACACACACACAAAAGAGGAATGAAAAGAAATTAACAAACTGATCCTAAAACTCATAAAGAAATTTAAGAGAAGCCAAACAGCCAAAACAATCTTGAAAAATAAGTTAAAGAACATTTCCTAATTTCAAAGCTTACTACAAAACAGTGCAACCCTGATATAAAGATTATAGATCAATGAAATAAAATTGAGGACCAAGAAACACCCTGATTTATAGACAACTAATTTTTTTTTCTTTTTCTTTTTTGGAGAGGTTTTTGCTATAGGGCGCATGCGCTCGCCAGAAAGAGAGAGACAAAGAGACAGAAAGCGAGAAATCACCCCCCAGGGATGGTCATGCCGCAATCCCTTCTCCTCCATTCTCCTCTTGGGATCTTGGGCACACACACACATGCGCCCAGTGTGAGTTTAAGCCACCGGGTCCGGGACGTGAAACACGGTCGACTACGTGGGAGTCCGGCAACATAGCCATTGTGCTAATTGCTGGTCCCTAGACAACTATTTTTTGACAAGAGTGCTAATACAATAAATAGGGAGAGATGACGGCTTTTTTTAACGAATAATGCTAAGCTAAAGTGTTAAGCAAAAAACTTAAGCTGGATTCTTGCCTCACACCATATGTGAAAATTAACTCAAAATGGATTAAAGACCTAGGTGTACATGTTAAAATTATAAGACTCGACGGGAGAAGAGAAGAGTATAGAGAAAGATAATAAGAGAATAGAGAGGCATGCCATTAGTAGGACACAGGTATGTTTTATTACCTGTTGATGACGACGTGTATAGTATTCTCCGCTGGGTTGGTCTAAGAAGTATTTCATGTTGAGTAAAGTCTTTTTTCAAGCAAAATGAGAAGTAGTGATTGTTAAAAAAAAAAACTGGAATAATAATAATGATAATGATGATCGGGAAAAACAATGAAAAGCTATTGGATGATGATGGGGATTTTAATGTCTCTGTATTGACTGATATGTGTGGTATTCCTTCTGGAAAAAGAAATGTAATACACTGTAAAGTTATATGTGATTCAATGTAATATAAACAAGATTATAATGATAATAAATAAATTTAAAAAAACAATTATAAGACTCGGGATGGGTGGGTGGCATGATGGTTAAGGATGCTGGGCTCCCACATGGCCAACCATGGTTTGAGTCCCAGACCCGGTGGCTTGCTTTCTCACTTTCCCTCTCTTTCTCTCTCACACTCTGTCCTTCTCTGGTCAAATAAAAATAAAGAAAGAAACAGATGAAGAAATAATTAAAGTTAAATAAAATAATCATTAAAAAAAAAAAGACTCTTAGGAAAAGGTATTAATTTTCATGATCTTCCATTAGGCAATCTTTTTTTAGATATACCAAAAGCACAAGCAACAACAAAAACAGATAAACTGAATATTCTTTTGTGTGTGTGTGTGTGTGTACAGTTTTTCACTATAGGGTGTGTGCACTCACCAGAAAGACAGAGAGAGACAGAGAGACAGAAAGCGAGAAATCACCCCTAGGGGGGATGGCCACACCACGATCCCTTCTTCTCCATTCTCCTCTTGGGTTCTTGGGCACGCACGCACACACGCCCAGCATGAGTTTAAGCCACCGGGTCTGGGACTCAAACCACAGCCAACTACATGAGAGTCCAGTGACATAGCTATTATGCTAACTGCTGGTCCCGATAAACTGAATATTATCAAAATTTAAAATGTTTGTGCTTCACAGGACACCACCAAAAATGTAAAAAAACACAAACAAACACAAATCATATAAGAAAAAATTTTGCAAATAATGTGTCTCTGGTGCATGTGTGTGCATGCCCTAAATCCCAAGAGGAGACTGGAGGAGAAGGGCTTGTGTGTGGCCATAACCCTTATATCTGATAAGGGATTTGTATCTTGAATATATGAAGATAACTCAACAATAAAAAAATGAACAACCTAATTTGAAAACGAGTAGAGGATCTGAATGAATAGGCGTTTCTTCCAAGAAGATATGCGAATGGGTGATAGCACCTAAAAAGATTCTCAACCTCATCAGCTATCAGGGACTCCAAATGAAAACCATAGTGTGATACCACTTCATATTCATTACAGTGGCTATAATAAAATTGTTTGAAAATCACATAATAAGGTCCAGTCTCTATGGATTACTTGGTAGCAACCTGAACTATGCAGCTGGAGGCCACACGTCCATCCTTGTTGGAGTCCCCAGTCCAATGGCCGAAACGTGTTCAGGATCCGGGTGGGCTGGAGGACTGGAGTGAGGGATTCACAGCATGATCGAACCTGTACAGGGTTCTCTCTCTTTCTTGGACATGTTTTTTATTTGTTGTTGTTGTTGTTGGGGGGGGGTTGTTTGTTTTGGTTTTGGTTTTTGCTATAGAGTACATACATTCACAAAGAAAAGACAAAGAGAAAGAGAGATCTGAGGGAAAGTGAAAAAGCACCCTCCAGAAGGAATAGCCATGCTACAATCCCTTCTCCTCCATTCACATCTAGGGATTTGGGGCACACACACATATGTGCCTGGTGTGTTTCCCAAGCCACCAGGACAGGAATTCAAACCGAGCAGTTGGCCATGCAATGCCTCAACCACCCCACCGCCTCCTGATCCAGTGTAGAGAAGGTTCACAGCTACACTAAGAGGAACCAGCCCTGATGTCCACCAGCTGATGAGTGCATAAATAAAACGTGGCAGAGCTTCAGGGAATAGTCCTCGGCAATAAAAGTCAAGTAGTACTGATACATGCAGCCTTACCCACCCTACCACCTGCTGGCCCTAACTTGATATTTTAAAAATTAAATCACATTATAAGAATGGTTTGCAAGTATGTGGGAAAGTTGGAACCCTCATACGCTGCAGCTGGGAGTGTGAAATGGTATAGCTGCTTTGGAAGACAGTTTGGTGAGTCTTCAGAAAGTTAAGCATAGGAGGGAACCAGCAGTTAGCGTAATGGCTATGTCGCTGGACTCCCACGTAGTCGACCGCGGTTCGTGTCCCGGACCCGGTGGCTTAAAACTCACGCCAGGCATGCGTGCGTGTGTGCCCAAGATCCCAAGAGGAGAATGGAGGAGAAGGGATTGCGGCGTGACCATCCCCCCTGGGGGGTGATTTCTCGCTTTCTGTCTCTCTGTCTCTCTCTGGCTGGCTGGCAAGCACACGCGCCCTATAGCGGAAACCTCTCCAAAAAAAAAAAAAAGAAAGAAAATTAAGCATAGGAGTGAACACAGGATCCAGCAATTCCGCTGGTAGGTATATACCCGAGAGAGTAAAATAGCCATGCACAGAAACATATACATGTATAGAATTATTTTTATTTACTATTCTATTTTTAATTTGCTGTAGGGCACATGCACTCACTAGAGAGAGAGGGGAAGTTAGAAAGCAAGCCACCAGGTGGGAGACTCAAACCATGGTGGACCATGTGGGAGTGCAGTGCCTCAGCCGCCCCACTGCCTCCTGACCCAGTGCAGAGAATGTTCATAGC